TAAAACATATGGAGTATTCCTTTGGTTGAATTTGAAACCCACTACCTTAAAAGAGTTCACGGCATTCTGTGAGACGAGTGCCTTTTCACAAGATAACCATTGTGAATTTTGCTAAGTGACTATATTCATTTAATTTTTCAGTAGTTGATAAAAGGAGGGAATTTCACTAAAACATGCAAGTCGATTTCCCCGTTTCGCCTTATTGCTTTTAATAATAAGTCTGGCTAGAACCATTTACATTATGAATCCAGAGTTATGCAGCAAGGGATCATGGACATCTTCAATTGTATATGGATCAATAGCTAATTAAGCCTTTTAGTATAGGTTTATGTTAGGTAGCATTTGTCATCTTTTTTTTTTTTTCAGTAATATGTGAAATTTAACCAGTAATAACTTTGTTATTTTTTTTTCATCAGAGGTCAATGTTTTTAGCATTTTGGACATAAAATGGAAAAAGATCTAAATCTCAGACATAATTTTGTTGAAAAGGAAACAAATCGTCCTGGTTGGTTTTCCCCTTGACTGGAATATAACTACATGTACCTGTCTATACATTGTGTGCTTCTATTGATTTAAAGGTGCCATCAGTGGCTTTTGATACAAAAAAAAAAGATAAAAGAAATTAAATTGTGTTGCATTGACACTGTAATTACAAGAGAGAAATTGACTGGAAATTGGAATCTTTTTCTGTGAAGCATTTTGTTGCTAAGGAATCATAGAACCAGGGGAGAAGATGAGAACAGAAATATTTCTAGAGAGGCATCTCTCCTAAGTTGCTAGTTAGATTTTGCATTGCCCTCAGAAAATGCTATGTTGCATGATAGCATGTTTTTTTTCTTCGGAGGAGGAAACATTTCCCCTCATGGCATTTATTTAACAAGTTTTTTTTAAAGCTTAAGATAGTTTTATTCCTATGAAATCATGTATGATAAGAGTATACCTATTATATTTAGGTCTACCAGGACTGGGTTTGTCACATTCTGCCGAGAGGGAGACATCAAACCTGCTGCGTATGCGACAGTCCACACTCGGGCATTCAGCACCAAATCTCTCTTCGTCAGGTCCTGTGACAACAGTAGGGAATATGGTGAGTGTGTGCGTGCGTGTGCATGTGTGACTTGTGTACTTGCATGTGAATGTGTGCATGTGTGGAATGATAAACTTGAAAGTGTGTGTATGATCTTTTTAGTACAAAGGAACAAGCAAATGAGATTGGATGTAACCAGATGCTTTCAAAAACACTTTCCTAAGTATATCTGAAATTTGTTTACTTTGAAATCATTTATGATAATTCACCTTACCTTTTGGAATAATCTGTTGACAATCTTATGTACATTTCTGGTATATGCAATGATCATTTTCTTGCTTTTGTGTTGATATTTTAACACTGCAGATCAAGGTAATGTATAGTAAATTACTAAAAATACTGTATTTTATGTTCACAATTGCTTCAAAAAATCAGCAGATAATTGACCTTTGCCTAGTCTCCAGAAACAGTTTCATTGCTACTTTGTCGTATGGGAAGGAAAAGGTGAGTGTCATTTTTCATGATCTCAGAAAGATATTTATAAAGGACAAACCATTTCCTCATTGTAAGGGAAATAATGCACCCAGTCTATTGGTATCACAACGAGAAACAACAAAGGTTCACTTCTTGTCATGTGAGCTTTGTGGTGGTTGTCAAGCTCTGTGACATTTACTTCTATTTGTCAATATGCAAAATTCTTCAATCTTCAAATTATCAAGTTCTTGAGCAAAAAATATCAGAATTTCACAGAAATCCTAGACCTGTCAATAATTTAGAAACCTAGACAAAAAGAAAGACCCATCTTTCTCAAAACTAGTAGGTGTTGAATGTTATAGGAGATATTTGTTACTTTTCTATGCCACCACTACTGCAATGCAATGGCGTTGTCTCAGCAGCAGCAATGGTGGCTGAATGCCCTCCACCTTATTAAAACATGGACAATTTCCATCTTTTTGTGAAAAATCCTAAGGAGCATTACTCTATTGATTTTTCCTTTAATGGAGTAATTTAAAAAGTCTTCAAAGGAGGATGTTTGGTAAGGAAATCGGACAATTTCCTGTTGCCTACCTGAAGCGATAGAAAGCCCAGGAAATATGCCCCCCGACTTATTTGGCTGTCAAGATGCAACTAATTATGAGATGGAATANGGCTTACTTCGTTGAGAATGCGCTCTAAGTATATCTGAAATTTGTTTACTTTGAAATCATTTATGATAATTCACCTTACCTTTTGGAATAATCTCTTGACAATCTTATGTACATTTCTGGTATATGCAATGATCATTTTCTTGCTTTTGTGTTGATATTTTAACACTGCAGATCAAGGTAATGTATAGTAAATTACTAAAAATACTGTATTTTATGTTCACAATTGCTTCAAAAAATCAGCAGATAATTGACCTTTGCCTAGTCTCCAGAAACAGTTTCATTGCTACTTTGTCGTATGGGAAGGAAAAGGTGAGTGTCATTTTTCATGATCTCAGAAAGATATTTATAAAGGACAAACCATTTCCTCATTGTAAGGGAAATAATGCACCCAGTCTATTGGTATCACAACGAGAAACAACAAAGGTTCACTTCTTGTCATGTGAGCTTTGTGGTGGTTGTCAAGCTCTGTGACATTTACTTCTATTTGTCAATATGCAAAATTCTTCAATCTTCAAATTATCAAGTTCTTGAGCAAAAAATATCAGAATTTCACAGAAATCCTAGACCTGTCAATAATTTAGAAACCTAGACAAAAAGAAAGACCCATCTTTCTCAAAACTAGTAGGTGTTGAATGTTATAGGAGATATTTCTGTTACTTTTCTATGCCACCACTACTGCAATGCAATGGCGTTGTCTCAGCAGCAGCAATGGTGGCTGAATGCCCTCCACCTTATTAAAACATGGACAATTTCCATCTTTTTGTGAAAAATCCTAAGGAGCATTACCATATTGATTTTTCCTTTAATGGAGTAATTTAAAAATGCTTCAAAGGAGGATGTTTGGTAAGGAAAACGGACAATTTCCTGTGGCCTACCTGAAGCGATAGAAAGCCCAGGAAATTTGCCCCCCGACTTATTTGGCTGTCAAGATGCAACTAATTATGAGATGGAATACCTCAGGGATATGGATAACTTTTCAGTGATGCTCTCTGTATGTGTTTTTACATTATGTTTTATGGAAGAACACTGAAATACCAGCTGCTGGCCTCTGATTTTATTCACTGAATGCCTTGAAGATGGAGCAGATACAAAAGTCACGCAAGCTTTATTGAATGAGATACTGCTGGAGTTACATCTTTTTAAACAATATATTATTGTTTAAAAAAGAAAGGGTGAGCGATACACAAAAAATCTTATTTGCGAATTTGCCATTGTTTTAAAGATAGTAATGTAACAGATTATGGGTGATATTTTTCAGTATGTTTACAAATCGAGTTTTCAGTGATGATAACAATCAAGATCTTTTGGAACAGACAAATGGGCAAATATCAAGCAGGAAATTACTAAAAATAACTTTGTGATCAGATTAACTTGTTAAAACCACTTAGTGAATGACTTGAATCACCAAGCACTTGATTGGAGTCCCCAAAGAAAGAGGGGAGCTAGTCACCCAAGAAGAAGTGGCAAAGATCAGTTGAAAAAGATGCCAGGACAGATTATTTAGCATGGGCATTACAAGATGAAATATGTAAAGCTAGAATGCAATGGAGAAGTAATGGTTGGCCCTGTGCTCCCAGAAAAAGAAAGGTGGGGTAGGGTGGGGGTGGGAGGGGTAAAGATACTGCCAAATATTAATGTGATACAGTCCATGCATTTTTTATGTATAGACACATATTCTTTAATTCTGGGTATACTTAACTTAAAGTTTGAGAAAAAAAGCTGTAAGTTTCTAGTTTTTAAGTCACAAGTGTTAACATTTGGAGTGCTTGCTTTCTGATTACAAATTGTCAACTCTTGTAGTAAAATGTGAGGGCGGCTATTGTTTGCAGCACAGCATATGATATCAAGGCCATATTTCACCTACCTTCCAGCACAGCAGTAAATGCCAGTCCTTTCATATTTCATTTATTTAAAAACATTTCATCAGAAGGCAGTTGATAAAATTGGGGTCTGTTGAATAAGTTTTGCTTGATCAAGGGAAAACTAATAATGGAAAACTATAGGAGCCATACAATGAAAATAGAAAAATTATTCTATTTATAACAACTTTATAGGTTTTATGAGATAGCTTAATTTTATTGCTTCCATATCTTATGTAGCTAATGGAAGAATTTGAATTATGAGGCTTCAATAACAAAAAGGAAAAAAAAAAGAAAAGAATGTCAAATTATTAGGAGAGCCAGAGACAATGTGCCCACTCAAAACACACAAGCTTTGTAGTCAAGCACACCATATATTTACTTAAATTACAGTGCTTGGTTCTATCAAGATAAAACATAGGATGTGGTAGATTTACAAGGTCATTCACAAAAATGGGTTGGATTTCCCCTTTCCTAACTTCTGTGTCTATGAGACTATGTCATTCTCCCTTCAAAGGACGTAAAAAAGGAAAGTTACAGTTTTTATGAATTATCATTGCTTGCAATTCACTCTCTCTCAACTAGGAGAAGTTGTATTGCCTGCCAACTTTTGCAAGATTGAGGGATCTAGAACCACACTGAGCTGGAAAAGGTATTTTCTTCCCCTGGCACGAGATCAGCTTTTCAGAGGGCAGGTGGCTGTGGAATGGTGGAGGTATACTGCAAGTGGTTAAGTGTTCTATGTAAGTGCTGTTGTTGTTGCTCTTAAGTAAGACTCACTAAATGCAGCTTTCCACTTAATCTAGGTTAGAATAGTCTGAGGCAAATTGTGTTTTTTGATGAAATAGCATGATAATTTCATGAAAGCACATTTATTTCTGATACTGTTATTTGTGAGAAAAACAACACCTAATCTTTTATGTAAGTGACTTGGTGACTCATTAGATATTCTGAGGCATGGGGGTATGATTTCGATATATTTACGTGTTACGGTGTAATCCAGATGATTTTCATCCTATGTTAATTTGAACTTTTTCCTTAGAAAGAAAGCCTCAAAAGGCATAACATAAACAAGTTTGAATGGTGCCACTATAGAAGAACAATAATTTTCAGTGAAAGCAAACTCTGCTCAGTAGGGTTGTTTGTTTTGGAAGGGAAAGGTAATTCAAGTCACATAATCTTTGGTGGTAATATTGTTATCAGTCTAAGTTAACATGACTCTGACTTTATCCAGCACCCAAGCCTGTTGATAACGGCTATTTGAAAGAGCTCTCCCACTGGAGAAGTTCATAAATGAAAAGTATTGCATTCTTACACTGGGAAGAAGAACATGCCAATCAGAAGGTACTTTTTTATTTTTTGCAAGAACAGGCAATAATATACCTATGATGATAATAGACTGAGTTGCAGCTAGTATTTTTATTTGGGGTATAAGGCTGTTGCCCGTGTGCACTCTGTCTCACTCTCTCTCTCTCTCCATAATAAATATTATGTCTGAAAGGTACACTTAAGGTATTTGCTTTGATTTCATAATTTTCCCTTACCTACTTAAAACTTCATAGTGTTAAAGCCACACAATTGATAAGACTGTAAGTAATCTGATTATATTTACTTATCAGTTGGGTTGTAGCATTTCTATAGTAGTAGTATAGTATTAAATGGACTGCAGGTGAAAGAGATACGATTTATATACAATTAGATCACCAGTTCACCTGGGTCATTTCATGATGAATCACCTTGATAATAATACAATTTCTATTTGGGTGTCTGGACCAACTTGTCATGCGTCATTAGGTCTGCACTCAGTAAAAGGTAAGCACTTGTAGGAGAATGTCTTTTTATTGAAGGCATTAGGACACTTTAACGTCATATATATGCTGTATATCAGGACCATATATTATGGTGTATTACATTGGATGTTTACACTGGCTAGCTGTATCCACATGGCATGTGTGTATGGTGATGCCTGATCACACGGAGGTGGTTTAGACTACCTGGTTAGAATTTCTGTACCACACATGGAATGTATTGTATTTAGATATGGGAGGCACTG